AAGCACTGTTCGACTACCGGGTCACGATTGCGTTATTAATTATGCTACAGACAGTGGTCAGGCGTGGAACTTATTGTGTCGTTTGAAGTAATTATCCGAGGTTAAGCTGTAACCAGTGTCTGGGTGTGCGCTGTTCTTCGTTACCAATCAGAAGCGAGAACGTGATACAGCAAATTGATGTGCTGCTCCCCTGCCACAGCTTGTTAAGGCCATAAGACGCTCCAGACGATTGCTGCCAACATGTGCAGCTAATATGTTCATATGGAGAAGTTTGCGCAATTATTCCGGCAAACAAATTAAGAGCATATGCGGCAGCAATCTGCGACCTTGCCCCAGTGCGCTTCTCCGAATGTTGCGCTTTTAATGTTATTAAAGTAGCAAATTGAAAGTTTCTTGCAATATGCGTATGCACCGCCACTGGAGCTTGACTAGATTGGCCTTCTTTGCTCCAGCCATTGCGTTCGCGGTTTTCCATTATTCCAGCACAATTTTTTCGCAGGCCTTTGACGATTTACAATTGGCTAAAATACGCACCGCTAAAGACAGGCTGAGCGGGACGGGCGTCAGCTAGCCTAATCTGAAGCGATCCGGACAAGCACTCGGCGTCACAAAAGTTTTCTAATTGCCTCTGGCAGCAAAAATCGAGTGCCCAACTTCAAAGAGCTCAACCAAACTAAGCTCAACAAAATTCAGAAGGACGTGCAGTCAGCGTAGAAACTGTGCCAGCGCTTAGCTAATAGAGTCGAATATGCATTTGGCCCTATACAGGAACAGTTCCTTTGACCCTGCCCACTCGACATGGGAGTCAATTTGATGAACAACGATAATAGTTTATGTTTCATTGTTTTCTCTTTCGCTTGATGAAATGTCTAGAAAATTAGTCTATTTGATTTATAACGCCTTACGCAATTTGATTGTTAAAGCTAACTAGCATATCTTATTTATTTATTAATTTTGTCGAATGATGTTCATTCATAAAATCTACAGAGTATATTCAAGTAAGTCAGCTTTATTATACATGAAGCTTTACTCAATCACAAGTGAGTCAGAGAAACATTTAAAGTACATATAGCACACTTGAAAATGGAATTTAATAATGGCGCTTCAATGAGTTGCCATATCAACTCAAAAGTACAAAATTGAGTTTTGTTTGACAAGGAAAATCAAATACCCAACCGATATTTGTGTCAGTTTTCTTTAAAAATGGAAACAATTGCAACTTTCGTCAGTTTTCGCAGTTTGCTGTTTAAACAAAAATATATATAATGTTCACAATTTTACCCTCGTCAAATGATAGTCAACAAGCTGTCGCAGTCAACTGATTATTAAAATTTCAACGATAATTGATCTCTTTGTGTTTAGGTATCGTCACGTTCCAGACGTATGCAAACGAAAACTGAAACAATGATGTGCTTTGTTGCCATTTGCATATCTGGAGAGGTTCCCAAAAGCATACCGTTTATATGACTCAATGTGCATCAGACGAATAAAGGAGAGATCCGACAAAAGATGCAGACCGTTTCTAATTGCTGCCAACTGCTCACTCGTTACTAACTTCGAGAAGGACTGTTCAGAGCGTAGTAAGAAATTAGATAAATTATTTGAACAGCATTCAATTTGCGGCAAAGGCCGCCCTCGCACATGAAATGCAAACATGAAGCGTAAACAGGAATTTTTTTTTGGCTTTAACTATGCAAACAGTCAAATGCAAGGGTCCTGTCTGGTAGCCAGTTGGCAGGAAAAGAACGTCCAGAACTTTGGCTTCAGCTCATATTTTATTCAACTGTACCGAAGGACCACACAAGTGACTGCTTCGGCTGTGGCTATGGCTTTGGCTTCATCCGCGAACAACCCGACTAACGAACTTCTGCAGCTGAGCTCCTGCCATTTTTCTTTTGTTTTTTTCCCAAGAATTTTTCACTATGCTGGTGAAAGTGAAAAAATGATGAGAATAAAGTGCAAGTTTACAGGCCGTCGTCTCTGACAGTCTCACTTACATATTTTTTAATTTGCATATCCTTGGGCATGGGCAGACTAACTCAGCAAGTGGCTTATAGGGATAAACTAGGCTCTTAATTAATGTAAAAGCTTTTAAAAACTGTTCTACTTGTTAGACTTTAAGTAGTATTAACAAGCCAGCCTGCAAATTGTACCTTCATATAATAATTACAGAGAATTATATACACTTCGAAATAAAAATCTATTAAGGGATTGAATATATATGTAAATTTTTACTTTACAGGTGTTTAAACTTACTTGCTGACCAATGTGACTATGACTTCACGCATGCCTAGATAAAAACAATTTAATTTTAATCAGAGAACCTTGCTCCATGCTTACCCTGAAAAGTATGCTTTAAAATTGACACATACCTTCTTATGTTTCTGAAATGCTTATTACAGTTTATACAATTTTTCACTCTTCAGCTTGTCCATGCCAACAAATATATTATATATATTCAAATTTCAATGAAAAGGTTTAATCTTAATCGCCTGGAGAAGGTCACACTATATATAATCGATTTAATGGTGCGGTCATGCGAAAAATGTAAAGAATCCTTACAGTGCTTCCGTGTATGCCAATCCTGGACGACTTTTTTTGTATTATCAAAAAGTTTGACAAAGGAGAGGAAATTATCATAAGTTTTGTTAGACTTGAGGGGGTGGCCGCTTTAGAGTATTTATGAAAACACATACACAGGGCCATGCATGTGTTTGGGAGGAGCTTTATGAATTATCGATTTTCATTTAAGAATATATTAAAGTGCAGCGAGGGAGATTGGGAAACAATGGCTACAACAACTACAACTATGCGGGGACTGTTGCTGTGTTGACGTAATGAAATTCCTTCAAGGTATTTTGTGTGTCTGTCTCCCTCTTTACGGTGCTCTGACAAGACATGTTCGTCAGTCAACAGGATATGCCACGTCAGTGCGAAAATTTAGCAGTTGCCTGGGCGGAGTTGACATTTCTCGACGCACGGATGGACACAAAGAGACGAAAGTTAAATGCCAAAAAAGGAATTAATGTAATTAACACAGCGTGTTGCAGGCAAATTTCCTGCTTGTCGGCGTCGTAAACAGTGTGTGGACAAAAACACTTCTCATGATGAGCCCTTCTCCACTTTGTGGCCAATCTGTGATATTTAAGGTAGCTGTTGACGTTGGCTAACTAGTCAGAAGCTATGTTCCAGCAGACAGACATGCAACACATTCGGATTTTAGCGAATTTGGCACAAAAAGGTGTACGCCGCCTTTGGTCAAAATGTTAAGGATGACATCACGCAATGAAGCTTGCCTCCAACTTGTAGAATCATAGCACATGCAACCAAAAGTAATTACACTGCCAAGTGGCACGCAGGTTGTTCGGAAACTTTTCTAAAGGGGAAAATAAATTCAAACAGTTGCGAACCTGGCTAATGGAGTGTGGAGCAGAGAGCGTGGCCTGGCTTGTATCTTGACTGCCACAAATTAATTAATAATGCTTGTTACATTATCATTAATTAGATTGCAGCCAGTACTTACGCATTATAAGAGGGTGAAAATCTTACGGGTTGGCATGTTGCGCAGATTCTGGTAAAAAGCGTACACTTCGAGTTGTAAAAGTTTGACAAAGAATAGCTAGGTTTGACCTTAGAGAGAATCAATAGAATTCCAATTTGCTGGACAATACATTTAATCCTACTATATGTGATTCATAAGAACTAAATCATTTTCAAGCTGAGTCAATAAATATAAAATTGCAAGCAAGAATAAACTTAAACATTAAGGCATGCTATGCTGTCCAGGCGATGCAGGGTTAAGCAGTTGTTACATTCCCAAAAACCCCAAAAATAAAATGTGTTAAGCTCGTGCTTAAGCTTAAAATTTTAATTTACAGCGTGGCCGAAACTAGTTACCAGATCAAAATTTAGACAAGCTGCCATAAATTGTAAGACCTTACTTCAGCAACGCATACGTGCGTAATAACATGGTATTTTTGTACACTCAGAAGCTTAAATATTTAATACAACTTGAATTTAGATTTAACTACTTCTTTGTGCGACATTTTTATAAAATTTTAAGAAGAGGATATTTGAAGGAATAAATATTCAAAATAAATAGGCATTGCATAGTTGCTCTCGCAATCACGACTATTAAGTAAATATTTTGTTCATTTTCTCAAATGCTATTGCATTTACCTAGTTGCTGCAGGCCCGTTAAAAAATAAACCAGTAGATAAAGTTAATTTGGTTTATTTGCAGACTTTCCACAGCCGCCCTGCACTTGACAGCTTATTGCCACCCAACACCAGTTCGTTGTTGTTGTTGTTATTGTTGGCGCACAATAAATATTGATTACGATGGTGTTTGAAATTGTTGTAGGTTTATTTGGTTGAGATGGCTGGCTTAATGTTCCGTTGAAATTCTAATTTATAAACCAATTAGCAGCCAGAGCTCAGGCACACCCATAAATATTCCCTGCCAACAAATTTAATCAGACAGTTCTCTCGGCTGCCACTGTCTTTCTCTTCACACAGATTTTGCGGATTTCCCATAGTTCCTGGCCCTTTGGGCCGTGCTCTGTTGTCCTTACTCCTTGGAGGCGTACTTGCTACTAACTAAATTACATTCACGCTTCGTTACATCGAATCCTTACAGAACTGAACTAATCGTGGCACACGCTTGCCCCTCACTAACGCCTTTGATTTGCCTGCTTAACATAGATTCGTATACTTAGTATGATAATCTAGAACAAAGTAATTAACGAAACCAAATATTTTAGGTAATTTGATTTCGTAAGAAAATACAATGTTCATAAGCACTGTTGAAATTGAGGCAGATAATTGTCTCAAGTACCTTTTTTACCTACCCAAATTATTAGCAGTCCGGAATTAAAGTGTGCCGTTTTAGATTTTTCAGTTAATATTTTATTTATGAACTATAAATTGATTAAAAATGAAACATACAAAAGGTACAATACATAATTGAAAAAAAAAACCATAGCCAAATTATATTCACAGTTTTAGTTAGTGTAGAAACTTTATTCTATGCTTTGGTTTCCATTAACATTTTCCATATTTATAATCGAGCATTTTGAATTTCCTGATGCAGTACCTAAACGTACGATTGGAATTGCAAAATGCCATTGGGTCTTTAATTATACGCCTGTATGTATTTTTAATGATTTAATTCTACGAATAGTTGTTATATTACCAAGTACCCGAACTATTCGCCTAGCCGATAACTGCCTATTCATAATGCATTTCGCAGAGCTCATTTGCTAATTTTTAGCGAAACACGAATATTTTATATACATATATTAAATAACCTCTCTATTGTGAAAATACGTTAATTGTTATTTGGTAATTGGATAACTCCAATCATACCCTATTCTATTCACGAACCGGGAAGACTGCAACTCACAGCCGACCACAAAGAACCAAAGGAACAAAAACACACCGCATGTAAACAATTTGCTAGTTAGTAAAGTGTGTTTTTGTTTCCGTTCGGGTTCTTTTTGGATGCAACTGTACTTTAATTACGGCCAGCATTTCGATCTATTTGTTTGCTTAATTTGTGCTATTTTCCGGAATGTTTCTTTTTTATACATCTTATGTACACATTTGGCTAATTGGGGGTAGGGTGGCTATTTTAAAACGTGAATAGTAGTACTATCGTATTGTATTTGGGCTATATATATATATATATCTATTTTGTTCTGATTATTTACACGTTGATTGGATGCACTCCAACTTATATTAAAGAACACACTTAGATGCTATTTAGGAAGGCACTTGACATTTGAAACAATAGAGTCAACTTTAACAAAGAGATGAGAACCGACAAGACCAACAAAAACTCAAAATGCTGTAGAATGCATTTGCACATACACATATATAGCATTTACAGATATGAATCTGCAACGGAGAAGATACAAGTCTATGACTATCTCTTAAAATGTTGTCTGCAGCAGCATTCCCACCCACATTCACACAGACCTAAACTGCAAGGTATATCCAGCTAAGCAGGCATTGGTATTAGAAACCTACTCACCTTGGCACGCAGGAGCAATACACTAACTCGCTGGCCAGACGCTTCCTATACCCCAGGCCTAGCTATTCGGGAGCCGGATATTAATTACGTTCATCCATTTAAAGCGCATTAATCCGAAGTACATACCACTGAATTATGCACACACGTGAATCCCTCATACAAGAAGTTGTACGGCGTGGTTGAGTTATGATGGCACCTCCTGCAACGTAACCTGTCCTCTATGATAGCCCCCCCAATAAAGCGTTTATGAGCCTCATCGCCCTAATCAACGCACACATACACACATGCGCAAAAGCTATGAACTCTAGGTCACTCTCTCTCCCTCTTCCTCACTCTCTCTCTCTCATTCACATATATAGGTGTAGACCATTATGAAGATTCCTTTTGGTAGCGAAATGGAAATATCGTGATATTTATGGGGGGTGTATGCGTACACGCACACATCTATAGAGTTATGTACATATATGAGGCTCGCATCTCATCCCAAAGCTCGGCTCTGACAACCCATTAGTTTTCCCTTTGCCAACGACTTTGGGAATTTTGCTGCTTCGCATCCTTGATGTATGTGAGTGTTTGTTATTCTGAGGCTTGTTCTTGCTGTGTATTCATGGCATCTGTGTGTTTATATTTATGCGTGCGTTTACATTATTGATAACATTAAATGAGTCTCCCGCAATTTGTTTTCATTTGTCCGCTTGGATCGCATAATTTTATGGCATAGAGAGTCGTGCCTGGCGCTTGTTGTTCCCACTAATGTGTAATTCGTTCCGTTGCCATGAAAACGATTGGGTAATTAAACATTGAGAAAAAAGCAATTAACCCAGCTTTTATTACAAAAGGGATGCAAATTCAAAAGGTTATCGAAGTAAGAGAGCATATGTAAAATCAGGAGGTTATATCATTCACGCACGTGCAGAACTCTGCACAGACCAACATTTCTATGCTTAACCTACAAATTATTCTACCCTAACTTTTCTATGCGAATGCACCTTACTGTGAACTGACCTAGAACCTTGCAAGTGCGTGTCCGTTCCACTCATTAGTAATTTACAGTTGCAGGAAGCTCGTCCATTTAAATACATTTATGTATACATATATTTTAAAAACAGACATCAGCCATTGTTGCCCAGATTCTGAGAGCCATCTACTCGTTACACACCTGTTGTTGTTGTTGTTGTTGCTGATTCCGATTCTGGCAGGAGGTCTCTGGGCTTAGTTCATTCCCCTGTAGATTTGTATTGTCGTTTATGCTAGAAGTGGCCAAGGGTACTGTTGGCCCATTGTTGGCTTGTGGCTAGGGCCTAGCTGCCGGCACATGAGCAGCGTCTGAATGGGAGGCAGCGACGGACTGTGCCTGAGTACCTGTGACATCCTGCCTGGTATAGCTATGGACGTTAGGGGTGGTCACGTTGACGGCTGTAGTATACACGTGAGACTCACAGTCCCCCGTGCTTGGTCATCCGTAATAAAACTGCGAGCTCACCGGTAAACCAGTTGATAGAGTACGCGGAGCCGTGCCATCATAGGACAGCTGAGGATGGAGCATAGCTGCGGTACCGGGCTTTGTGCGGCGCAATGTTGATGTGCCAGGGGCAGGCACATGACTTAGCGATGTCATTGCTAGAGGCGATGTAGTCGGCGGCTGTTGTGTCGGTGGATGCGCCGGTGAGCCGCTAGCTAAAGAGGAGGGTGGGGTCGGTGTGTTGCTTGGTCGCTGCAGCACGCTCATGGCTTCGGCATTAATGATGTAGCCACCGCGAATGGTGGGCGCCGTTGTGTACTGGGTCAGAGATGTAATGGGCAACATGGTGTCTGCAAAAGCATGAATCGAAAATGTTGACGAAACGCACCTCAACAAGTCGAACTGACCAGCTGCCAGCCAAAGCTGATGAAGATACTTACTTAAGCCACTGCTTCCGGGCAAAGTTCCACTAGGATCGTTCCCGCCAATTACAATAGCCGGTGTCAAAATGCTCGCCATGGAGCCCTGTGCAGCAGGTGCGCTGCCGGCGCTACTTGTAGCTACATAGGTGTTTGGCGACATGCCGATGAGGTCCGGCGACTGCCTTGCACCCATTAAAAGGGGGTTGGGAATCAAACCGGAGGCCGTGCAGGGTCCGCCAACTGTCGCCAGCTGGCTAGGCGCTAGGCTAGTATACAAGCTGCTGGCAGGCGCGTAAGTGATGTAGTTCTGCAGTGTCAGACGACAGACGACAGATGACAGATGGCATTGGCTTCTGAGTGGGATGAGTTATGTTACCCACCTCGTTTTTTGATACGCTGGGCACTGGTATGGAAGTGGTAAGGTCAATGTCGGCGTCAATCTCGGAAATGGTGTCGTTGAAGCCGCTTGGGATGGTCGTCTCGTCGCCCAGGCCTCCAGCGGTGCCCCCTTTTGTAGATGAATTGGACTGCGTGTCACTGGCCATGCGCCGCTTCTGTAGCACAAGGCGCGTGGCCACAGTCAGAATGGAGAAGAGGACACCGACCAATCCGACAATTAAGAGATATAAATAGAGACGCTGCTGGTCGTCTACGGAGAACAACGTGGTTATGGAATGGAGTTAGCAAATCGCGTATATAAATATATCAAAGTCATTCGTTGAGCCGGGGATTTGCCTGGCTTAAGTCCGACCCCATCTTGTTTTTAAATTGAATTTAAGTCAACTTTAAAGCTATTTGTGAATAAGATTTGAAATGCGAAAAATGTCTGCTTCGTCCTCTGTGACAGTGAGTCCGTGTGGGATTACGCCTACATTTCCAGACTGTTTTCCATAAGGCCACCGACTACCAAAGACCCCTGTGGACTAGCGCTGACTTGTGTTTGTCATTATGGCAAATGTAACCTTACGTTCAGGTCAACTTGGTAGGGACTTACCCTCCAGACTTAAGTCGGCGCTGTGTGTCATCACCGGATTGACGCCACTGCCATCCACATCTGAGTCCAGTGAGCCGTTTGTTACGGTGTGAATACCCTCTGGATTGGAGTTGGCAGCGAGACCGCCGCCGCTAGTTCCGTTGCCTGCAACTGTTTTGGTTGTGTTGCTGTACAGCTTGGGAATGGCCTCCGACTCTTTGTAGATGAGCTCATCGTCGTACAGGTCATTGATGTCGCCCTCAAAGTCCTCCATTTCGTCAGCCTCCACCTCTGACTCGTTGCTCTCCTTTAACACTTGCTTCGGCACTATGGAACAAAGACATAGAGCGCCCAAACGAGCAACATAAATCATGTGGCCAAGTCACCGGTAACGGAGGGTCGGACGCCAAGCACCAGGCATCAATCTTGCGCCCTGACGCGCGATACGATGCGATGTGATGGGACGGGATGCGACGCGGCAACAAAGGCGCGCTCTAAATCATTCTGAGTGGCAGGAGCAAACGCCCCTTGATTTTTCCTACGACCTACTTACCGCATGTGTAAACAACCTTCAAATACATTCGCGAGTTTGGCTGACACGGGGTACCAAAGGTATTCGCATCAGCGGCCAAGTTGCAGCGCCTTCGTCCATGGCAAATTTGCATCACAGTCTCCGTGGCGAACGAGGCAAGGCATGCTATTAAAGGCCAGAGATAAAACAGACTAGTTGTAGCAGAGTGCGGGCCAAGGATCGCTCCTTGATTGATGCAATCCACAGTTTAGCCACAGGATGGTCATCATCCCCAATACTTACTTTCCTCGCGGACGCCCTGCGGCTGTGGACACTGAATGCTCTCATATTCCGTGCGTCCAAAGCTTGCACTGTAAACGGCAATCCGCGAGTATGGATTGCATTCCAGCTGGGCGACATCGTTGTGGCAGGCAACCTTGCTGCGGAACTCATCTGCAAAAACAAAAGACAAAATTGGCGACAATTTTCAACAATTTAAAGCACCACCGTTCATATATAATAACCGACAAATAAACATGAAGTTTCATTTTATCAAAAGGGATAATTTTTCCTCATTATCAAAAGAAATGCATATTTCTATTTTGTATCTCCAAGCGGCGAATCCGATTGGCACGATAATATGATGCTGATTAAGATAGTCAATGATTCAGAACTTTGTAATTGGAAGCCAAGAGCTCAATCAGTTCATGCTCTCCCTGTCATTATGGTAACTCTGGCTTTGACAACAAAGCTGAATGCCAAATATATATATATGTATATATATTCGACAATGCGGCAGAGCATTTGCTGCAATTTGAACCTCTCCAACCTCCCGACTCCGTTTCCCAGGGCCATGTGCCGGGCGCTGCGCGGAAACTTAATTTTGTATCGTCGATGTTTTTTCAAGTTATACAAAGCACGTGCAAATGCTATTGGACTGGTACTGCCAACGAGCGATGCTGCCGTTGGCGGCAATGCTACCGGTTCGCATTCGATACGCTTCCTTGCCCCTGGCAGCTGGCAGCACGCTTTGGGTGCCCGAGCCCGCCAACTGCTGTTTAGTAATGCTAACGGACTAGTCGATGCCCGCCCGGTTGCCTCTGCTACCATTCCACCTGAGTGAATTTTTGGAACGCACAACAACAGCTCGCTAAACTGGCTGGTTGGGTGGCTGAAATGGCAAGACTGGATAGCTGGATAGCTGGATGTCTGGGCCTTTGCCAAGCCGTGTGCGCGTGCCTTTGCCTGTGTGCGTCAGTTTTAACAGTATTTGTTTGGCAAAATATCGACACTGTGTGCTCCAGGTCATGCCCTAGGACGAGGACCTTTTTGCAGCACACTTGTACAGCTGGCAGACCCAAACCAATCGAAAAGCCAAAGTCCGGATGAAGCCGACTCTCGTTCAACTCATTCGCTTGGACGTTTATGTGTCGATTCCGGCAGTCGGGATTGTTCAGGTCAGTTTGTACTGCCGTTGTGCTTGTAGTGTACGGAATTTGTTAGCCATTTTACGTGTTCTATTGTACGCCCAATAAATCCAACCAAATTAAACAAAATTTGCGCTGCAGCTGCTGACTTACATGGGCGACATTTGTAGGCGACTTCGACGATTTTCCTGCGCTTGGGGCAGGGGTCGTTGCTGATTGCATTGGAGCTGGCTGTACTGCTGTGATAGCTGCTGGTGCCGGATGAATCGCCCACTCCGCTGGCGCCCAGTCCGTAAAACTGTGGGGATCCGTGAAACTTGCAGTGCTTTTTCTTCTGGCAGGCCTCCACCACAGTCTGCAACAAGGAGTACTGTAAGGTAGGTAGAACAGAACAAAAAATCAGTTGCAATTTAGGTTTCCAATTTTATTTTTCTTTCTTTTCCATACTTGTCGCATTGGTGTGCAAACAGAAGAAGCTGAAAAGTGAACGAGTTCAGGAACTGGGCGGAAATTGTAAACTTTTACAAATTGAAATAAAATATTTGCATTAAATATGTAATTGAAGTGTTTCCAGTTGGGTCTGAATTTATTTTTCCCTTACATATTACTTATGTTTTAGTTTGATATGATAGAACTTGGTAAGAGGATGTGTGTCCTTCGACGTAAAGAGAGCAATCAGCTTATCAGGAATATTGAGCTACATTTGAAGCATTATTGAGGCTTTAGTGTCCTTTTAAATCTCATAATATATATTGAAAAAGTAAAAAAGTCTGCTCTTTAAAATGCTGATCCATTTGTTAGACCTATCATATGCATAAAACACGTTGTCCGCCATATGCGTGGCATGTATTCAATCAAGAGCCGCATTGTCTTTAACTATCTGCTCTTGATATCGTTCCACTTTTTCGTGTTTCAGGCAACTGACGGACACGTCCAGTTCCAGGCCAGCACACAAACATGGCTAGCTGCGCATATAGCACAACGGCGAGGATATAAACTGTTTATTTTCAAGTTATTTTTCACTATCTTGTGTTGACAGTAGGGGCCGAAGCGAATGAAATGGATGATGAGGGCGACAGGACGGCGGGGTTGCGGAAAGGCGGGACAGCAGGACGGACGGGGCCTAGTCGACTGACAGCAGGTTTAGATTTGCCTGGCAACGTCAACCATTGGACGAGTCGTCACAAAATTTAATAACAACGACAGCGACAGTGACGACAAGACCCTGCAGAGAAACAGAGCACCGGAGAGCGAGAGGGAATAGTGGATAGGGGCAGAAACGGCGAGCGATGAACAACAAAAACAGCTCCTTGAACAATGGCGAGAAATGGAGACAAAAACGATGCGAGAAATTATATGCTGCGGTAGCCATTTTTAGCGCCATGTTGGCGCTGCTGAGCAGAAAGTTTTGGGTTTGCTGCCCGGCCTAATGATGCCCCATGGGACGTGAAGGCATCTTGGCCGGCACAGCGGGTAGGCTGACATGCCAGACAGCACATTGACTTTGCTTGACACAAAGGCAACTTTTGGCCTTCGTCAATGTTTTTGCGAGCATTTCTCAGCGGTTCGCATGTTGTTCATTTTGGCCCTACATGTAGCTCCGACTGTCAGCTTAAACGCACATTAAAACCGAAATGAAATGAAATGTATTCAACTGTCTCGTATTGTTTTCTATGTTGTTAAATTTGCTTTAAATTTAAATTCATTCTCCGTCATCCGACATCTTTCGTTTGGGTTCAAAGGATGCCTTCAGAAGTCGGAAAAGGCAGCTAAATTGTTTAATGAATTGGAAGCGTTATTTGGCATGCGGACAAACGAATTTCCTTATCCCTTTTTAAATGCAACTGGAATTTAAAGCGACATTTTGTTAACTGCTTAACGTTAGCCCAAACAGACTCGAAATAATTTTGTACATCCCGCACAACTCCTTAGCGAATATTGCAAAAAGGCACAAATTCAAAGAATTTGCTGGTAATACAATCTCAATGGATGTTCTGTTATAATATATTGCAGGTTGCACAACTCAAGGCTCAAGAATGATTAAAATAGTTTTATGTTTCCTTAAATTCGTGGTTTAGCACGCCCAACTATCTCCCGATCTCTTTTTCTTTTGTTATTCTCAAGTCACGCTTTCCATGTTCACATATATCTTTGTAAAACACCCTTAAAATGGTGTCTACTTACCTGAAGAGCATTTGGCCACATGCAGTTTTCAGATGAGCTGTCGCTCTTTTGAGCATTGTCCGCTGAAGATTCGGTAATGGTTCCTCCTGGTCCACTGGTGCTAGTAGGAACTTCGACTGCAATGGCATAGCCGCCGTTCACATAGCGATTGGCGGGCACTTTTTGCGAGGTGGAGCCAAAAATGGAGCCCCGCAGCAAGTGTTTTGCTTTTCCACGAATCTCGGGCTTTACGGTGCCAGAGATGGGACACAACTCCTCAATGCTGTAGCCATCTGAACAAGCAAAAGGAACATAAAGCACAAAATGGCAAACGTGTTAAGAATAAATGGCCCGAGGATGGCCCTCTAGAGGCAGAGAAAGACAGAGAGAGAGAGAGAGAGAGAGCGAGAGAGTGGAATTGGGTGAGAGCCCAACACTTACCTTTCGCCACAAACTTGTTGTACTGAGCAAATTCAATTGAAATGCTGGTGCCGCGCGGGCAAGCAATTACCACCTGATCCGTATCACAGGCCGCCTTCTGATATGTGCGCAGTGTGGCCGATAAAAGAGCTGTTGGCCAGACGTGGGCATGGGTGCATGGAGAGGTTTCAGTTGTTTAAATTGTAAAATGTCCATTGGTATTCAGAAAATTGCATAAAAAGGAAAAAAAGAATATAATTAAAATAATTGAATATGATAATAGTTATTCATAATTTAATTCATATATATTATTTATGTAAAAGGAATGCCAACACTCATTTGTGTGTATTCTGATAGGGTTAACAAATTTAATTAAATCTGCACGATATCAACTTAAATAAAATTCCTACGGAATAGCACAGCTCGCATCTCTTGCTTTACTCAAGTCCTTGGAATTTTATGCTACAGTTGCATGCTCTCCTAAAGTTGTGGCCAAGTCTTATATATTTTAGCGGACTAAATTGAATCAGGCAGCTTGTTGGTTTTCAGTATTTTTCGCTGTATTTAATAAGAATTCCACGGGGAGGCCAGATGAGGCGATTTGACTAGAGTCCATGCGGTGAGCTCTCGCCCCAATCACCTGAGCTAACAAGAGTCGACGCAGCGAGGAAAAACACTGAAAAGACCGCGCGCTGTTGTTTCCACGAAATGGTGGCAGCCCAACGCTGGCAAACGCCTTCAAGTAGCTCAGCTCAGGCGGATTCCTAGGCGTGGCTGGAGCGTGGCATCAAAAATGCGTTTCCGGACTTCAAGCAAGGCGCCAAGTGCACATTTTCAGCGCGCCACAGTTTCGCCGCTTCCTCTTGGGAGGTGCATGCCAAATTATACAAAATTCTTGGTAAATATTTTCGCTGGTTCGCTTCTGTTGCTTATATCTTTGCCTAAGGCTACAACTTACTTCTGGCTGAGCTGCTACTCTATGTGTATTAATGATAATAAATATATAAACGAATATTTATAATATATATAAACGATGGCCGGCCGGCATAGGCCATTTATATGAAAAATGGCCTTTCAATTAGTTTGCTGCAACGAATCAATTTCCAACAATTTGCCAGAACGTTCAAAGGAAAAACTAATTGAACAGGTCTATCTACTATCAGCTGAGCAATTTAAATACCGAAACAGTTGCCGCGCGGTTTATATATGTATGGTTAAGCAGGGGGGGAAGGGTTTGGGTTGGGTCTCGGACATAAAATATAATTTAGCTGTTACCGTTCATTTCTCGCTTGGCATTTTATCACTAATGAGTTTGGGGAGCTGAGCGTGCGAATTGGTTTTGTTTTTGATGACTGCCCATGGCAGGGGCGTGTCAGCCAGCACGAGGAGGATGCGGCTGCGGATGTGGATGAAAAAAGACACTGAGATTGAGGATATTGCAGCCCAATGCGGGTGACTACCAACTGCCGACTACAGAATGCCGACTGATTTATATTGCAAGCCATAAATTATATTTAAATGGTGCGTTTTCGCTTCTGGCAACACGAGCACCCCAGCGTAGCTCGTAATTATTTCTACATGGTATATATAGTATATATATACGTATAATCACGAACTGACCATGGACTGGCCCTTGGCCAAACAGCCAAATGGCAGGGCACCGCCCAGTGACAATATATTTCAAGTCTATGGCCTGACCGCCCATTCGCCTATCGGACGGATGCAAGTGGGCCACATCTGTTGACCAGCTAGCTACTTGTATCAACTGCCAACTCAAGATGGATTGCATCTTTTTCTATACACCTTCACACTACGGGCAAGTTATCTACTTTGTTTTTTATTAATCTGCATACATGAATATTAAATTTAATAATTCTTCGATTATTCGCATTCATGTTTTTTTATTTCTAACGCCTTTCAAGCACGCGTCCTGCTGTTCATATCTCTGATATTGCACACTTGTGCCAGCTGGCGGCACATTAAATTAATTGTTATGACTTTACAGCTGGGGAAACGCTGGTCTAAGAGAAGCTTCCAAATGGTTCCGCTAGTCCTTGACTCAATGTGTTGGACGCTGCCGGTCGGAAACGAAAGTCTCTGAACTTTTTATTGGTGCCATTTGACTTCGGCAATCGAATCACTTTGGTATGGAGCGAATCCAAATAAAAGTTCGCTTTGCGCTCGGCCATAAAATCCTGAATCTCCGCCAGCCTGACTACACAATGCAGCATCGAAAAAGTTTACCTTTTAAAGTGAGAGTATATTCAGCGTGTTGCTTAAATTGAAAATACAATAATAAAAAAAAAGGGAGAAAAAGTCCCTTTGACCTTGCGGTCTGCCAAGGCAAAATCATCGTACATGTATATATCTACTATATAGTAACCTATATACTCCCGTCTCCATTTACTGGACAGTTCTTGAATGATGCCGCACTTTTAAGGCGGTTGTATGAAACTTTTTATTTGATTCGAAATTGAAAGCGCTCCAGACAGATGCCGGTAGCTGGCACTCTTAAAGGCCGACAGTTTTATGAGCCTACCGGTGTTGGGGAGTGTAGTGATGGAAAACTGTCGGGCATGAAATTTGTTTTGAGCACCGACATTACTTTCCCAACTTCTTAAGTAAATATGTGTGTATGTGTTTTTGTGTGTGAGTGTGTGTGTGCGTGTGCGTATTGTATCCACATGTGCACCGCATCGTTTTACATACTTATGAATAATTTAAATATATGGGCTCCCGTCTCACTCCTGGCCACAAGCCTAAAAGTACAATTTTGCAAACTGAATGCTTGGTTGAAAGAAGATTACGATTGAATATTTATATAATGTATATTTTTATTTATGTGCAAGATTATGTCAGCACATTGAATAAAATCTATTCAGCAATGTCGCTCAAAGCAAATGCAGGTGCCAGGCAGAGGGCATTACCTTTTATGAAATGTACTTTTGTCACTAATAAACTCGAACACCAATGGGTTGTGGGCTTTAAAGGAAGCCTGACATGAGGGTTCTGAAATAAACCGGGTCTGGTTGCCAAATCTACTTAATCGACAAATTTAATATTGACATAATAAACTGGGTCGTCGACCGTTTAGCCTACATACGACATCAAGTGAGAAAATGTAAAAAATAAATTCTTTTGCCCTTTCATGACTAATGATTTTTTTTTTTTTTTTTTGCCCAGGCACACACTGTACCCAAAGATATTCATAAAAGGCTAAAAAGAATTACGGCAAGGAGAGAGAGGGGAGATATTTTTGACACACATGTGTATTTCAGAACTTGGCTTAGTAATCAAATTCTCCAGAGGCTTAAGCAAATATTTTATGATGAACCCCTTTTAGCTCTGATTTACTGATTTACTTCAGAGTCAAGTGTTTCTTCCGCTAATCGCTGAGCTCTTTTTCAGAGACAGATTACCCCCTATGTCTTTTAATGGTAGTAAATTGCAATGCAAATTTACGATGCAACGCAAGGGTCTGAAGTTGGCGCATGTGGCTACTGCAGTAAATTCTAGCTTCCGATGGAAGAGATACTTATATGATGTATGTATGCTCGCATGCAAGGACTCTATCGCTGAATATTGCAATCGACAATTTGTTTTACTTTTGACGACTCCCAAATCCCAGTGGAGCTCCTTGCGCCGGCAGCCGCTACGTTCTCTTAGCCTCAATTTAGCTGTCAGTACTGTTTGCTATACGCTGAAGGAATCCCCTGGGCTCACACTGTCGAAGTCTAAGTCGCAGCTTTGGGACAACGAATGCTCGATTGAATGCTTTGGAAGCCAGCGGGATTCAGTGTAGGGCACAAAAAAAAAAAAAAAAAAACAACAAGAAGAAGCAACTGTCATCGGGAGTTGCCGAGTCAATGGCCCAGAAGAAATTGATTTGTTTTGATTTATTCCCATGTACTTGGTAGCTCCAGCTCCAGCGCTGGCCCGGGCCAGAACTCGCTCTCATCTGTCCGGGCTTGGCACTTGCAGCTTTGATGTTGCCGTTGTCCTTTCTGTTGTTTGTCTCTTTCAGATGCTCATGCAAAATTGTGTTGATTTCTTTATGGGGCTGCCGGTGGTTGGGCTCGTTCCACAGCGCCGCTGCTGGTAGCTACCATATTTTATTGTCCCATTTGACTTGCTTAATAAATGGGAATTCGCCAGTGTCGATACTATTGAACAAAACCCTGGGGCCAAATTGACGTTGCGGCCTGCTTGTCCTGTGGTCCCAAACCAATAAAACTTGATATGTATCTGCTATGGCTGGCGCCCAGTCAGTTCTGTATGCTGTACAAATAAATCTAATTAAATGAAATTTAATATGGCTCATCCATATTTGGAAAGACCAAATGATATCGATTGTGAAACAGTTTCGGGCCATAAAAGGCTAAATGAGCCTAATAACTAAAACGAAAACAAGCTCTGAGCCCTAATAACAACAATGACTGTGGAGAAAACTAGTCTCATTGCTGAAAGAAAGCCCAAATAAATAATACGATATTCATGTACAGCGTTTGTGCTGTTGGTAGTACTAAATTTGACTCTCAAATGCAATTGTTGACTCTAAAATATCATTGCATCCAGGTCTGAGGTATGATGATGTCTGTAAATTCCGGAGCTCAGCGGAAATAAGTCATTCATAAAGTGGACGGAAAACAAAAACAAGACAAAAGTGAAATGAATAAAAGTATATTCTTAAATGTAGACATAATATTTTCCCTTTTCGCTGACGTTGGCATTGTTTTCAGCTCGGATTTTGTAGTGGACCCCGGTCTAATCCTGAGGAAACAAAAGTTTATGACATTTTACGAGCTTTTTTAATACTTTGTGAAAACTTTGCACATTTCCATCCGTCCGCTGGCTATCCATCTTTAAGCTCAGCAGCTCGACGGAAACAAAAACAAAAATTTATGAACCTGTTTTGTCATATATGGATGGCTGAGCGGCTGAAGGCCTGGCTGGACAGACGGCTGCGACCCTGGACACGAAATCCAGAGGAATATATCCAGATATATGTATGTATATGTGCATGCTCATACATAAATACCTACATATATGCTTATTTAACTCTCTTTTCGCATTGTTGTCAACTCTGAAATGGCTGGAATACAACAGATTTCACTCACGTCACCAGCGGGGCGTGTGGTTTTTGGACGCAC